TCTCTAAATAATATTTTTTAAGACTTTAAAATAAAGGCCGTACAGATTTTTAACAATAAATCTAATTTCAATTTGTCTTTCTTTGGTATTTCTCTTCCATTTGAGAACAAAATGGACGGATCAAGTATATATCGCAGGGTTGACAAGTTTTCAGTATCGGGCCAGATATTAGGGGCAAGTTCAGTTATGGCATAGTATAAGCATCCCCTTCCGAAATTATCTTTCAAATGTAAAGGTAATTTAGATTTGGCTAATATATGTATACATCAACCAACAAGAAAAGTGTAGAATAGTCATGCCATTGATATCTTTTGTGTTTATGTCAATTTTGTGCTTCTCTACTACTTTTAATTTCTCGATGCTATCGTTTTGATCATCCCGTCTTATCTTTAACGCGTCCTTTTTAAGCATAGACTGTTGCTTAATGGATGCTACAGGATGAACTACCAGTCCATGGATGAAAGGAAATGGCATAGACTGACTTGATGATTTAATCTTCTCACTATATTTTTTTAAAAATGTATCTAACTAGACAGGGTTTAAGTTGATTATGATAGAATGAAGAGCTGTGTATCCCCTTTGATGGCTCTCACTTGTCAACGAAACTCCACCATCGACTAGTATGTCTACAATGTCAAGAATTCTAGGTTGGCCTTTAATGTCGCGTATTAGGTGTAGAGGGGAACCGTCAAAGAATCGATCCAAACAATCGACATACGCACCATGTTTAAGAAACAAATTTAAGAGTGGCACGTTAGATGTGGTGACAGCCCAATGTAGTGGGCAATATATCGTTGCGTTGCTATTGAGATTGACCTTGTAATCTTTGATGAGCTCTTCCGCTATATCCTTTACGTCATCCGCCGATGCATTTATTGTAGAGATACTTGGTATAATTCTACAGAGTTCACATAGAAAATGTAGCCTTAACTTTATGACACTTTTCTCTGTACGTTCTTTCGTTTGTAATAACCAATGTCTAACTTTCTTTATTTGACATACATGTGTCTCAGCGGTTGGAACGTGTGCGTGTGTATATAAAAAAACATGGAGCTTGTAACAGTTGTTCAAATGATTCCAAAATGGAGTTCTCGCCTGCGAGTGTTTGCTCGTCAGCATGTTTCAAGAGCAGCTACCATATGTCAAGTTGTACATCCTTGTCGCTAGTCAGATCTATGCTTGATTTGCCATTTAACTTGGCATCGATGAAGATTTTTTGGTTTTCGTTTACGATCAAGTCTTTAACAATTTTAATGTCATTTTCAAGGATGGCTTTTTGGAGCCTCTGTGTAAGCGATTCTTCTTCACCAGCCATCCTCCGCTAATTCTTTTTTTCCTGTATATTCAAACCAACATTGAAAAATAATAGAACGTTTTTATCATTACTTATAGAATGAAGGAGAAAAAGTATAGTTTAGAATCTCAAGTTTAAACATTCTGTTGTTAATAAACCTTGATGTTTCTTCTTTTAAAAGTACTGATGAGAATATCATGAATATGTTTGTGTTGCTAATTCATACTTTTTAAAATAAATGAGGCATTGAAGTTTTTTTTATTGTTTCATGAAACAACTGCCATACTATTATTTCTTTTATAATTGTGGCCTGTTATTATTTTTCGTATGAGTAGATACTTCTCGTATCACAATGCACGGTGTGTGATACGAAAAAAGCGTTAATTTGATTGGCTAATTCAGCAGTATGAAAATATATAACGACATTTCCATCGCTATTCGTTAGATCGAAACGATGTACATTTCCACCATGTCAACGGAGATATGTGAGTTCTTCAATAAAATTTTGTTGTCAAATGTTATTATATTCTGATTCGAGCATACAGTTTTAAAATAGAAGATGAGGAATGGGTGCCAATGTGACAACTCTAAATCCGAGTCACAATGTGTAAAAGTGAACAATTAACAATTAAAATGTCTGCTTTTAGGATTTGACACCGGATAAGGACACGTGACTTCATACTATTATGTGCAAACGACTAAGCTCAACACAAACATAAAGAGAAATAGGTTTAACAACTTGCTAGAATTGGATTACGCCTCATATCAACCCTAGTTATTCAAAATTAAACAGTGATATTCAACTTCTCAAAGGCTCGTTTATTATCATATTAAAATTAAATAACCAGAGTTGACATCATGCGATATACAATTTTCACAGTCGATATGCAGACTATTAACTTCATAAATAATCCCCCCACCCCACCCGATACTAATGAAGGTTGTATATGATGGTGTCATAGCTGATAGGAAGAAAGATACCAGAGGGACAGTCAAACTCATAAATCGAAAATAAACTGACAACGCCATGGCTAAAAATGAAAAAGACAAACAGACAAACAATAGAACACATGACACAACATAGAAAACTAAATGATAAGCAACACGAACCCTTACAAAAACTAGGGGTGATCTAAGGTGCCCCGGAAGGGTAAGCAGATCCTGCTCCACATGTGGCACCCGTCGTGTTCCTCATATTATAAAAACTCCGGTAAATAGTCATTTCGGTAAGTCACATTCATGAAAAGGAAGGGGATTGTAGTTACGACATAAGGAACATATCCGATATCATCTGTGAAACGGTTATTCCATAACGTTCAACCAACTCGTGATGGCGTCCGTAAAATTTACGAAGGGATGAATTCAACTTCACCATTTGGAACTCTTGGTTTGATAGCTTCCTTATGAGCAGCAACCCTCTATCAAGAAAATCATGATAGGAAATACAAGCACGGGAATATCGTATCAATTAGGAGATATGTACCCCGTATGCAGGTGCTGCTGGAATGTTGCTACATAGAAATGGAAAGCTCACAATTGGAAAGCTGAAATCATCTCTATTGTCGTAAAGTTTTGTTTTTAACCGACCCTCATTGTCAATTTCTAGATGTAAGTCAAGATATGAGGCCGACTTTACTGTATCTGTTGCATCCTTTATCTCTAGTTCGATGGGATAGATGCGTTCAACATAGTCACTAAATTTTTAATTATTTAGTGAGAGAACATCATCTATATAGTAAAAAGTAAAGTTAAAGAATATTGCTAACTTCTTATCTTTCTTCCTATAGAATACTTTAGAAGCACCAGACTACGATTGTTCAACAGATCGTTAAAGTATTCCTCAAAAACTCATTAAACCTAAAACTGAAATAGACAAGGCAAGAAATAGAAACCTGTCTTGCAAAATTATTATTATTACTATATGATGCAATGACCGAATATCATATATGAGAAAGAAAAGACATTGGGAAATTGCCGGAAGACATAAACAACTCTCTGATGTAATACATGGAAAGACACAAATAGTTTAATGCATGAGTGTTAATGCAGTACGTATGTCGATAAACTTTATAAAACAGACTAATTTAACCGTCATACAAATATATGCATTTTCATATCTAAAAGAACAGACACCGGATATTTGGCTGCCGATCTGCGAGGACATTTATATTCATGCTTGTCTTGTTCAGTTCATTTAAAAAAATGAAAAACAATAATTCAAACTGGTAATCTTCAGGATTTGCTTTATATAGGCCCTTGATTAAAGAAACGCACTTGTGGTATTTCTACTCTATATTTTAATGCCAAGGCGCATGTCATGGCTTTTTAAAAGATATTTATTTTGTCATATCTTTTTTGGTACATTCCATCCAGTCGAAGCCCAAGTGACAACCGAAAGATTATAAAATAAGACGGAACCTTCAAGTAAACAATTAGTTTTATAACAGTTTAGAACACTTCGTTATAGGCAGTTACAAAGCACCTTCTGTAAGTGGAGTAATAACTATGTATCCGTAGCACATGAGTGTGTGCTAGATGAAATTAAACTGCGTAGTGATTTGTACAACTGTATTGTTTTTTTGCTGACAATGATGGTTCAATGTAAGTTGGAAATAAAATACGTAGAAATACAGTGTAACTACTCTAGATGTTTGGTATGACTTTTTGCGGTATCACGAGACATTGCTAGACTACACGGCTGGAAAGGACAACGGCTAGATTATCTTGCCACATTAAGAGGTGAAGCAATACATATTACAATTAGAAAGTTAGCATTATTTGAGTAGTAGGCCATGCTCCGACCGCAGCTTATATAAAGCGTAGCACAAGTGTAAGTAGTGATATTATCTGTAAGTTATTTATTCAAGAGGGGATTTATGTGAATGTGCAGCATATTCACTAGACGATTCTAAAAGGTATATAGGAATTCAAGAATTCAAAGGAAATCAAATTGAAAAGGAAAATCCGAACAGTGAAGATTTAAAAACGAACGACAGACAAGGTACTGTAGCCGTGATATCTAGTATGAAAGAAAAAAATTAAATGAGGATGATAGATTGCATGATTGAGGGATCAGCTATAACTTGGAAAGTTGATACCGAATCCGGAGAACATGTATCACAGAACAGAGCTACTATAGTATAATGCCGGATTGTAGACCTTTGCTGAGCTGAGAAGATACACAATTTGAAACTGCTGATGAAAGCACACTGAAATTTTTAGGAACAGCTGTAAACGGAGTCCAAAAAAAAGAGAGGAAAAATCCAATAATCCTTCTTTTTTTATTGAAAACCTAATTTTGTTAACATTGTGAGCCAATGTTTTTGATTCTGTCACTAGATTAGACATTGATGAATTTTTACTTCAGAATAATTTTATTCTGAACCCTATCCCCTATTATTATGACAAAAAGTAGAAACCATACAATAGGCTTAGATTATCAACTTCAGAATAAATTTATTCTGTAGTTGGCAGCAACATTAACCATAAATGTAACTTCTATCCAATTTATGATTAACATATAGTTATAAATTTATTTTGAGTAGAATAAGACCATTAAAATATTATGTGATGGCTTAACGACAAAAATACGGAATTCTTTATGTATATGCTTATCTCAAAATATCAGCATCACAAAATAAATTTATTTAGTACTATTCCAACATTTTCCAAATAACAAAATAAAATATTTTTATTTTGAGCTGGTCATTACAACGAAGATATGTGCATCTCAAAATAAATTTATTTTATGTAGATTACCAAAAATTTAAATCACTGTCTCAAAATAAATTAATTTTGAGATGTTCATTGCATTAGTTATTCAGCAATCATAAAATAAATGTGTTTCGTGTAGGATATCACATGTATGTATAATATATATGCTCCAGACCATATGAGTATTTGGACCGTACGCATACGGTCTGGACAGTATGAGTACTTTTTCTAAATACGCATACGGTCGGACCGTACGCGTACGGTCTGCCTAATTTAAGATGTTGGTCCTGTTTATTAGATACAAATGTATATTACTGCTCAGGATAACGGAAATCTTTAATTAATTTTAGAATAAGTATATTTTAGAACTCTACAACGAAAACCGTCAAAGATACTGGACAAAAACTATAAAAAAAAATATCCGTCGAAAATAAAATGAGAAAATATGATAAAACGTGTCGAAAACTAATGCAAAGAATGAATACGGTAGCTTTGTTACTCTAAAAATACCAGTTGTTGATATATGTTTTTCACTTTATTCATCTAATTTTGAAAATATTACTTTGTAGATTCAACAAGTAGTCAGCTTTAGATCGCTAAATCAGTCTGAGCTATATTAAATCCAAAGCCATAACACTATGGCAACATTTTGTTTGCATTCTTCCAAAATCATTTCCTTGTCTTAGCGCACACAAGAATAGCAAAAACTGACAATATTGACGCCCAAACAAAGGTACGACGCTTGTACAAGAATTTAAGGATTGTCTTGCCCTGTGCCATTTCTGAAATTGCTTCTTTACACAATTCTATGTTTTGAAACTGTACTTCATTCAGATTTGTATCATGTGCCATCGTAAATGCTTTCAATGCTTCCTCGTGCATGGCCAACTCAATACATGAATATCCGTAAACGGTCAGAGAATCATAACGTTTTTGATTTCTGTCATCTAAACAAACCTCAAAAAATTTTTTTAGACCGGAAATGGCTTCCACCGTTTTTCCTGTTCTCTCTTTTGCTAAAACTACAACGTAATGGGCCACTACAATCGATGGAACTTGAATGTCGTGGTTCGGATGATGTTTTGTCACATGGCGACAAAACCTGGAATCTAACGTTTCTTTGAATCTTTCTGAATAAACTCGGTAACTATATTCATTGGTAGCCATCGATTTGCGAATGGACTTTTCGGCGATTTTCAAAGCTTCTTCTGCCTTGTCTTCAACTAAAAGGAAATAGGAGTATTCAGCATAGAAATCTGGGTTGTTCGGACTTAGACGGATTGCAGTTCTATAACATCGATATGCAGATTCTAAGTCATCTGCTCTCGGCTTCGTTTGTAATCGTTTTTTTGTCCAGAAGTGAAAGGCACAACCAGCATTGCTAAAATAGTCTGACATTGCATTGGTGTTTGCTTCATGTTCTACTTCTAACTGTTGTATTACTCTTTTTTCCGAAAAGATGGTAAGTAAAGAAGCGAGAAGGGAATGTGAATCATCAGGCTCCTCTCGCATGGCGTGGAAAATATGTTCTACTATAAAATTATCTACATCTGGAGAATTACAGAGAGATGCTGCTATTCGCAAGAGATGAAACCCATTTTCTCTCATATTTGGATGTCGGGGAAGAGACATGCCGAATTTTACAAAATAGTTCTCAAAGATTCCAAGGAGGGAGCTTTTGGTTTGAGTATCTCCATTAAAACGCAGTAGACTATCTTTAAGGTTATGAAAACGCAGTTCAACAGGGAAATCGGTTAAACCTGAGCTGCTTAATACAGCACTGATTGGTTTTTTACTAATACCTTTGAAAAAAAGAATGGCCTTTTCTAATTCAGACCTATCGATTCCTTGTATCATATTACAATCGGGCATGAAGTAATTTTTGATAACACCTGTTTCCAGTGCTTTCAGCAGTTCATCAAGAAATGCCAGAAAATTGCGTCCAACATCATTGCTGTTCCACATGGAAATATCACCTTGTTCTACCGTCCACCACATTACTGTTTTCAAATGGTAGGATGATACGACTTCAATCTTGGCATCTTTGATTAATGTTTTAGTTGTAACAATACATTTTTTTTGCTGTAGTGTCATAAGATCTGCCATGTACCGTTCCGCTATATTAAAGGAAACTCTCCAAGTTAAGTCACATTCTTTACTAAGAATATTTCCCTTAGCAACAACATGACTACCCAATGACTGAATTTCATTTATCACGGACATGTCAGGCCAATTGTTTGGTCTAATTCTTGTTTTCCACTCTTTCGCGAAGTTTGGCCATTTTGGATTTCTAAATGCAAACACCCTGTCCATAGTGGTAATAGCATAATCAGTATTAACAGCGTGCGGCTGTGTTTGAAGGGAGGGTCCTACTATATCTACTTTGTTTTTGTCCATATGGCGGAGTACGTGCTCTAAAATCTGACGACTGGAAACGTACTTAGCTGAAGAGGCTTTGAGGTCATCTTGTTTTGCTAACATTTCAGATGGTAATTCAAATTGGCAATTTACGTTATATTTGAGTTTGACGTAGGTCCCGTAATCCGTTGGTTCCATCACAGCAATCTCGGCAGGATCATTAGATTCTTCATTAGAGATAAAAACCGATTTTGGAATGAACAATGTGTCAAAGTCCGTGTTGTAGCCGAACAAGAAATCATTATTCAATAATTTAGGTAAATATAACAGATCCACTATGCTTCCAACTTGTTTGACTTCAAATTCACCTTGACACGGAAAAACTTTTTCAAAAATTTCCTTCGGGGCTCTGAAATCGGTCACCACATTTGGAACACCTCCTAGTTTTACCAAGCACAGCTCAATCAAATATGATAGAAGTTGTGTGTCTTTTCCTCCATTTTCCTCAAGCATAACGTCACTGGAACTTTGAAATGCTGTTACAACCATTATACAGTCTGAAAGTATTAAGAGAAATGAAATATCCTATTCGATTGTTAGCAAATTTTCCACAGTTATCCTGCTTTTATTATTAGTATTTTGAATATAAGTAGGTTAACATTTCCCCCCAGAAACAGAATCAAACCGTGTCAGAACTTTTATTCTAAGATAATTTGTTATTTTTAACAATATTCAAGAATTTGGTTAATGTTATATAATTGTATTTTCACAATTTATGGAAATATTTATGTATAGGTTGCTCATTCATGATATAATATCCTGTAACCATAATTACTAACAACATAAACAACAAACCATTACAAACCGTGTTAAACCAAACTTTCAAAGAACAGTTGAAATGTGATGATCTCTTTTTTTCTAGATAATTGAGAAAGGTGTAATTAACATGGATCTGCTATATATCTAATACATCTTTCAATGTATAAATAACTATGGTATGGTATGGGCTTTAGTTATTTTCAAAGGTCGTACGTACATCTAGCGTATCTGTCAATGAATAAATGACTACGCACCGGTATGGCCTGTGCTCATTGTTTAAAGCCGTACGGTGACTTATAGTTGTTAATTTCTGTGTTATTTGGTCTCTTGTCGAGAGTTAGCTCACATTGGTCCTCATACCACATCTTCTAATTTGTATATGTTCTGTTAAATGTAATTCCAAGACTGATTAAAATTTAAATCTTTACCGATTTGCACAAATTTGCGTCTTTTCATCGAAAAATCACAATTTCAAATAAATCAACTTTCTCAATACTCTATATTGAATTATCGACTAAAAGTTGTCATAAAAATCAGTTTATCATGTTACATTTTATAAACATGTAGGACTCGGAGGTGCGATAGGGACGCTGAAGTGCGATAGTCACGCTGAAGTGTGATGGTCTACGCCGAAGTGCGATGGTCCGTTCGCTGATGTGCGATGGTTTATTTGATGCATGATGTCTAGTTTAAAATCTACAGATGTGCAATTGTTATGAGAAGGACATGTATATGTTTTAATAGCTAGTACATGTATATGAATTTACATTCATTATTGTCTATCATTGTTGTCCTTTATTAAAGTTGCAAACTAAATTAGAGATCGTTATCTTTAATTTGTTACATGTGAACATAATTCTGCATCAACATTTTATCTTTACTTGGGTCCTCTAATAAACATAAAAACCCGGAAAACTGCTTCTAACATACAAGTTGACATATACATCGACATGAAAAGCTTTAAAAAATTAGTTTGTGTAGACCATCGCACTTCGGCGTAGCTATCAACAAGATAGCGTCACAATGCCACCATCGCACTTCGGCGCGATTCAAAAACGCACTTCGGCGTTAAACCATCGCACATGAGCATGAGCATCGCGGTTCGGAGTACCAACGCGGTTCAGAGTCCTACATATATATATATGCAGTAAAAACCATATAAGATCATATGATCAGTCAAATATAGCACAGTAATCTCTCAAAAAAAGCAGCCAATTGTAAAATTTTAATAAAGAACTCATTATATAATAATGTTAAATAAAAAAAAGTAAGAATACAAAAAGAGGTGTTTGTGTGTGTATTCCTACTAAACAACTACGCTGGTTGAAAAGTCTGTTTATTTTTTAAAACATACTGAAATTTTGTAACCTATCTCTCAACTGGTACCTTTGGGATGTTATTTTGTCCCCCATATTATCTGGAAACCAAATGTCTTGGGAAAATGACGAATATGACGACGACGCTGACAATTCATAACATTATTACAATTATACGAACGACAAATTTTGCGGTCGTTTAGAAAAAAGAAATTAGATAATTTAATTTTTTTGTGCGGAAAAATGTTAATAATATTTCTAACGAAAGTTAAAGCACCAAAGTCCGAGTGTCCTTCAGACAAAATTGAAAAAATCTCAAATTTGTTTACCATACTATAACTACGTATTTTCAGACCATCCTTAGATATGTCGTAGTTTTCAACGCGTTCTTAACTAGAATACATCCCAGGATTTTTCACAATCTTATGACGTATAGTAACATGTCTTGTGATGATCTTGTAATGGTTCTAAAAAATAGGACATCACATGATAGAACTGAACGACAATTAGATTTAGAAAAGCCAAATCAGAATCTATTTTTGTCTCATTCGATTAATTTTGATGAGGCAACACGCCCATGTTTCCATCAGGTTAGTGATTCCGCTTTCGTAGGAGTTGTTTTATACGTATATCGCATATTAAAAGGGCATAAGCTTTTGAATTCATGTACACCGATTTGACTCAAATTCTAGAATTTAATTTTATAACATACTAAAACGTACAATATATATCCGAATTATAAATAGGCTAAAATAAACAATATACAATGCATGGGCATTTAGTTTGTATTCTAGTCTATACGCCATCTTATTAATCATCGAGTTGACCCCCCCCCCCCCCCCCCCCCCCCAAAGACTTCCGATGGTCATCTAAGCCAAAATAAACATAAACGTAGATAAACACGAACTCTTTCAATCGGATTTTTGTAGGTCTGATTGATTTCATATTACTAATTAACAATATATGTTAATCATCTTTTTACCTGTATAAGAATGAGTTTATGTGGATTGGATAAGTCAATTAAATTGTTTACCCTTGTTGACATTCGTTTTCTTTTAATAACTGTACACGCTAAATGCATGCATTACCCATCTTTAGGTGATATCACAAAGGGTTACTGGGGAATAGACATATGGTCACTTCAGAGGTCTTCTTCTGACAGGCTGTAAAACCTTTGTCAAAGTTGGGCATCCGTTTGGCTATCAGCAATGTTTCTTCGCTTATTTTGACAAAGTTGAACCAAAATGGTTGCTAAAAGCGAATTATTATTTCACTACTTCACTTTCATTGATGATTGAACAAAACAAATAATGTTTTTTTTTTATTTATCTCGTACCTAATGCCCCTTCAAAGTGTCTGACTGAGCAACTGATAAAAACAGTACATGTGGTTCGACCATGCAGCTCTTTTGATCGAATTTAAATCAAGACATGTTATAAAAATAATAATACGTAGCTTATCTGTCAACGTTTTTAGTATTTAAGTTTGACTTCTTCTTAGGGCTTCTTTATTATGTAATATAGGTTTATTAATCAGTCTTTCAATTACTTACTATCCCTTCCATGTAATGTAAACTACCCAGTAATCTAATATTGCTTATGCACAAAGAAGTAGAATATCGACTAACAAATCATAAACAGACTATAATCTGACATCTGACATATGACGATATATCATTCGATATTAAACGGCATATCATTCCTTTAACAAATTTATAATTTATTATACACCTTTTTGGGGTTATTTTCTTTCAGATTGTCATGTCATTCTTTCGAAGAATCAACCCGGACGATACAAAGTTTCAATAAAATATGTTTCAAGGCATAATTTAATGACCTGTTTACGGTATTTATTTTCCCTGGTTGAAATTCAAAATTATATTTACATAAACATTTAAAGGGTCACTAGCTGTCAAATTTATGTTCACCGATTTGAATCATATTATCATACTTGATTTATAACATTATATCTATATTATATAATGTTAAATTTATACATTCCCAGCAAAATATTATAGATTCAAGTGAGAAAAAAATAAATGAATAAAAAAATGCGTTTGCCACTTCTATGGAGTAACATCTTAAATAGTTTTTTATTTAACAAATGATACCTGTATGACTTTATTTCAATAGTTTATTTTATGAATGTTATGTAAAATACTGTATGTTGTATCAATTATATATGTTATGTGTATATGCCCCCCTGGGACCTAATTTGGAAAATAAAATTTATCTTATCTTATCTTATCTTATAACATGTTTAAACGTCTGAAATTGCACTGCATGTACTCGATAATATATATCAGAATTTCGTGTGTATTAAAGTCTAGACGCCGATTGACATATAACCCGATATAAACATAAACATAGATATAACTAAATAGCGCCCTTATGCAAGTTATTTTTTAAGATCTGTTTGATTTCATGTTATAGGTTGAATAAAAAGTAAATTTTCGTATTTACCTTTATAAGAATGATCTTTTGTGGATCGAATTAGACAACGAAATGGCCGGTTCACCTTTGTTTCACTTTCAATGTTAACATTCTTCTCCTTTTAATGGCTGAACACGGTTTGTACATGCGTAACCAATCTTTACTTATTGGGCTCAATTGAAGGTTACATTAATACTTTACCACGCATATACGCTTTTTTTGCTTATCCCTTACATCGCATATACGTCTTTTACGCTTACCTTCCCCCGCAACTACGCTTTCCTACGCTTGTCATGTATTTTGTCTTGAAAACGTTAATGTTAAAATTTAACGTATAAATAAATGTTGTGACATTTAAAAATCAATAAACGAGACAAGTGCCAGTGCTTATCGTAGGAAATGGGCGGTAATTATACACTTACGCAATGAATATTCATGAGATTCTCACATGTAATAACAGACGACAATAACAAATATGGCGGCCTCCAGCAGGCCGAGTGTATGATATGTTTGGGAGCAAATTGTGTCTGAACCAGCACTTCAAAATACATCAGACGACGAAAGCATTGAAGGTGAGGATAACGGAAATGTGTCCGATATAGATGTACCGTTGGTTAGCGAGGAGGAAGAGGACATTGCTGATGAAATCTTGCAGGATCAGGAGGAAGTAAATGATGATACTGACACGAATAAAATCATATTGAGCGAGGCCAATCAAGATGTTAATGTTCGACAGTTTCCCGAAAGTAACGGACCTCAAGTCTTATTGAATGCTGATGTTAGTGAATTGGATTGTTTTAATACCTTCTTTACAACAGATATGATCAGTAAAGTTGTTCAAGAGACCAACCTACTAGGGCAAAAATGCCACACATGTGTCACGCATGTACCTAAAAACGCATATTCGTCAAATTCCTACTTTCTCTTCTTTCAAGTTACAATTGCAACAATTGTATTTTCATAATGTAAAACCTCCTAGGTACTAATTTTACGGAGATATACTATTATTTATATTACATGCAAGGCTTCGCAATACGTATAGTGAATTTAGCGCGGATTTATACAAGGCCAATATAGTACAGGATGCATATTGTGCATGTGGTTACACTAGTGAAAGTGTTGAACACTTTTTATTATACTGTAATAACTTTGCACCGCAAAGAAATGTTATGCTTACTGAACTGACCCACTTAGACATTCCTGTTTCAATTGATTTGTTATTGTTTGTTCCCTTTTCCAGAATGTGACCTACCGAATTAGACTTCTTACCTTTATTTGTGACATTTTTACCTATTGTGTCTATTTGTTTTGTTCACGCATCATTATCAATATTATTAAATTTGATGCGACTGTCGTACAAGTGAGAGGTTTAGCGCTATAAAACCAGGTTCAATCCACCATTTTCTACATTTGAAAATGCCTGTATCAAGTCAGGAATATGACAGTTGTTGTCCATTCGTTTGATGTGTTTTGTCATTTGATTTTGCCATGTGATTAGGGACTTTCCGATTGAATTTTCCTCGGAGTTCAGTATTTTTGTGATTTTACTTTTTGGTAATGATAACTTAGATACAAATGACAATTTTGTAATATTTTCTGCAGTACATAAATATATGAAAGAAACACAACGTTTCTCACTTTGATAACAACCTTGCTGGTTATTGTTTTAATTACTACAGTACAGACGTTGCATTGTTCGAATGATCGATTTGTTGTTCATAACGGTAAACATAATGTTTCGCCTCAATGGATTTCAATTATTAAGTTATTACAAAAAGGGATACTTACATTTAGCATATAGCAAAGTACTCTCGACCAATGAAATTGTAGGATTGGATGCCTCTTAATTGTGAAGAATGAATGTAAATCATGTTCTTAGTAAGGGATTATCCTATTATTTGGGTCTATTTACAATTCAAAACAAAGAGTTTCTATAAATGAGTTACAACTGTCCCGAAGCACATTTATCAGATTGAAAGGAATTATCACACAGTGATTGAAACTGACTAAAAGTTGAGTTGTGAAACAAACAAAAATCTCAAAATAAGTTGAAGTTTACTGCTGCAGTAAAATTGGTACCGTGAATGTTATTATGAAAATATTAAACTTCAAATTACTATAAAATTAAACAATACCAAAGCAATGCATAAAAAAAAAAAAACAAAAAAAAAATCTTTCTGATAAAAAATAACCTAAATCTTTAGCTTTCCAAAACTTTTATTGCTTGATCAGCGGTTAAGGAGAATAGTTATTTCCAATACATGTATTCCGATAAAAAAAAAAAAACACAGGAATTTAATTTTGAACAATGATTTACATTCATACTCACAATCAGGAAACATACAATTCCTACCTTTTCTTTCTACTGTTGTGTCACCTAATATCTATAACGCATTTAAAAAAAAAAAATTTCCCAAATAATAAGAAAGTCCTTACATCACTAAAACTAATCCATAAATGACATGCCGAAAAAGGAAGTCATGCATCAATTATAAACATTGCACTGACAATGAAACTAATTCTTGAATAGATCATTTGAGTCTTAAGCACTTTACAATATTCTAAGTTTGTAAGAGAATGATAATCCCTTACTTCATGATAAGTACTCGCTAGCGCTCGTACTTATTCATGAAAAAAGGGATTATCATTCTCTTACATATACTTAATCTATGTTCTTGTCATCCCTTTATCCGTATTTTCAACGTCAGAATTTAATATCCGTATCACAATAATATACATTGCACGTTACTATTTACAAATTATACAGGTAAATAGAATGTCATTGAAAAACACACTTATATCAGTAGGTGTTTTCCCTTTGGACCGATCGTTTGGGTGTGTTTGTTTATTCAAAATTAGAACGTTTGATTTCCATTGAGCCGTTTTTATTATTTTCTTGTGTATAAATATTATAATAATAATGAATTGTTATTTATTTAATTATTTTTCATGCCTTCATGCTTTATTATTAGAAAATTACAAATTTATGTAATGTGCAATATAAATATTATGTATATTCATGTATATTATGGCGAAGACGGAACTAAGTTGAAAAACTTGTGTCTAATCCATTTGTTTTGAACAATAAAATATGTTTAAACTAAAGGTGTTTATCCTTTCTCGTGTTGTATATAGATTAGACCTTTGTTTTTTTTCCATTTTGGGGTTCTTTATAGCTTGCTGTTTGGTGTGAGCCAAGACTCTAAGTTGAAGGTCACCGCTGAACGTTGACCCATAATTATTAACTTTTTTTATTCATTGTGAATTGGATTGAGATTTGTCTCATTAGCACTCATACCACATGTTCTTATATACAATATTTTTTGGTTTGTACATGCCATTATACATGTCTGTCATTTTAAAATTGTGTTTGCTCGTTACATGTATTTTATGATTCTCAAAAGTAGAAGTACGTTTAGTACTCTAAGCATGCAGGGTACATTATAAAACTTAACGGAACTTTTACATGTCAAGATATGTATGCACAGCCTATATCCACATGTACATGATGTATATATTTAAAAGTGATATTAAAAGTAATATTTTTATTACAAAAAGTTAAGTGTATATTTTATCTTTACTAGGAAACCTAATTCTAATGGGGATTATACAAGTTCCTGACTACAAGTTTTTATGGTCGACAAATAAATTCCTTGCTAAAGGAGGTGTAAAAGAGGGACGAAAGATACCAGAGGGACAGTCAAACTCATGGATCGAAAACAAACTGACAACGCCATGGCCAAAAATTAAAAGACAAACAGACAAATAATAGTACAGATACACAACATAGAAAACTAAAGACTAAGCAACACGAACCCCACCAAAAACTGGGGGTGATCTCAGGTGCTCCGGAAGGGTAAGCAGATCCTGCTCCATATGTGGCACCCGTCGTGTTGCTTATGTTATTACAAATCCGGTAAATAGTCTAATTCGGTAAGTCACATTCGTGAAAAGGGAAGGGTATTGTAGTTACGACATAAGGAACATATCCGATATCATCTGTGAAACGGTTATTCCATAACGGCCAACCAACTCGTGATGGCGTCCGTAAAATTTACGAAGGGATGATTTCAACTTCACCATTTGGAACTCTTGGCTTAATAGCTTCCTTGTGAGCAGCAATCCTCTATCAAGGAAATCATGATAGGAAACACAAGCCCGGGAATATCGTATCAATTGGGAGATATATACTCCGTATGCAGGCGCTGCTGGAATGTTGCTACATAGAAATGGAAAGTTCAGAATTCGGAAGCTGAAATCATCTCTTTTGTCGTAAAGTTTTTTTTTTCAACCGACACTCATTGTCAATTTCTAGATGTAAGTCAAAATATGAGGCAGACTTAACTGTATCTGTAGTATCCTTTATCTCTAGTTCGATGGGATAGATTCGTTCAACATAGTCACCAAATGTTGTATTATTTAGTGAGAGAACATCATCTATATAGCGGAACGTAGAGTTAAAGGATATTGCTAACTTTCATCATGTAAAAGATGTCATGCCTGTAAAAAGATACGAAAAGCTGACACAGTATTTACATATGAATGAGCCAGAGGCGGATTCTACTGACAAACTTGCCAGAATTAGGCCTATATTAGACTCGGTTCTTGAAAGATGTCGAGTAGCTTATAAACCTAGGAAGAACCAAAGCATTGACGAGGCAATGATTCCCTACAAGGGTAGATTTTCTGCAAAGCAGTATATTCCATCAAAGCCAGTGAAGTGGGGTATGAAGGTGTGGATGAGATGTGACACAACCTCAGGTACTCACATGTTCATAATTTGAAATATTATATTATATATAAAAGGTTTTAGTTTTACATGCACTTTACACTTAATCATATTATATATAAGACATGTTAGATATAAAACCTTTGATTACCAGATATTTTTTCAATTGACGTTTACTCTTCCTGATAATCCATGTCATGATGATGCAAGCGTGACTGGACATTAAGCGGCAAACAATCAAGCAACTATGTTTTAATACGGTTAATTTAGTTTAAATTAAAAATGTTTTATCCTTGATACTTTATAAATCAAAACATTTACTTGTAACTTACGTTCAGCTGGATTGTTTTTAAAATACTTGTACATATGTAAATTATGTAATTTATTCATCAAATGTTATGTTACAACTTATTTAATTTTCTGGATACTGCCATGAATTTGATGTTTACCTTGGAAAAGGCTCCAATCCAAATAATGGTAAAAGTTTGTCATACCATGTTGTAACAAAGTTGAGTGAAGAACTGAAAGGAAAATTCCATCATGTTTACTTTGATAGTTTTTTTTACATCCATTCCACTTGCTGTCAACCTTTTAGAGAATGGGATTTACATGTGTGGTACCATACGAAAGAATCGTAGGCAGTTTCCAGAAGAGCTGAAGAACCTTCCTATCAGATTTGAGCAAGGACAGTATGTTGGACGACAGTGTCGGAACTTAGTGGCAGTTGTGTGGATGGATAATAAACATGTCTCCCTGTTGTCAACAAATTAGTCTATAGAACAGGTACATTCACCTTCCATATTAATTTTATGAACATGAATTTGTGCATTAAAAAAATAAATATCATAAAAAAGTTATTGAATTTTACAGGAAGATTTTCCCCTTTTAACAATGTATTAACACAATCTAGCCAAAATAAGACTTGGTATAAAAAGCACAAAACAATGTTATGACATTAACATTTAATTTGTGAAATCTTTGATGTAAATAAGATGTGGTATGAGTACAATGAGACAACTCTTCATCCATGTGACAATATGTATCAAAAGGTTTGTATTGTATGACCACTTTAACCAGGTGGAGAAGAAGAAAAAAGATACACTCAACTTGATTTCAGGATTAATTTGGTCTCACAATTAAT